CTGTGCCAGTGTAGGTGGAAGTGTGTCATACTATAGTAAGGGCCCGCGGTGCGTGTTGATGGATCCATGTAATCGGTTGCAGATGGATGTTGCTGTGTGATGTATACAGAGGATTCATCTCAGAAGGTGACATATGCAGTGAATAAATGATCAGATTGTGTGGGAGGGGAAGATGAGCAGAGAATGATGGTGAAGCTGCGAGCCTTCTCAACTCCTCAATGCTTTCCTGGCTGGATATATAGGAGGCGCCACAAAGGGTTACAGGGGGACCGGACTCTTTTTTTTGGCTGGCGTTGTGTAAAGTTCCCATATTCTATGTACACTCTCGGCATACTCCGGAGAACGGACTCTCATTTTGGCTGGCCTTGTGTAAAGTTCCCATATTCTATGTACACTCTCGGGATACTCCGGGGAACAGCCTCTCTTTTTGGCTGGCGTTGGGAAATAAAGTGCCAGGCAACAATGACCAACCTTGTTGTGCACGATTCCCGTATACTATGTACACACTCGGTATGCTCCTTTTTTAATTTAGCTTTGTTATTGTTCATAAATGACCTGCTGTTCATGACACTGCTCTGATTTATTTCCATCTGTTCTGGGTGACAACTATATCAGGGGTTGTTAAGTCATAGGGGGCATTGACTTTCACACATGCTGATCAGGAAGGGTTCCGTACACGGATCCTCTCCTGATCGGAGCGGTATGGATCAGATGTCACCTCTGTGACAACCGTGTCCATCCAGTTACTTCTCCCATCTTGCGATAGAGGAGAAACCTGAAATGACCGGATCCCATGTCGGTCTCGGGGGCATCGGATATAAACAGACTTGATTAGGTCTGCCGGAATGGAGCACCTGTTCTGTTTTTCCGGAGTTGGGGGTAACCAGATGTAAAGGGACGCTGGTCTGTTTACACCTGCTTGCCCATTGACCTAGACTTGGGCAGCCGGGTGTAAGACAATCGTTTTTCAGGCAGGCCCGATCGGACTGTCCGCGTGAAAGGGGCCTAACTGCTCCAAAGCGCCGCACATAATCAGAATATGACAGACTATGGTCACATAGGTCAGGTATAGTAGAGGAGACTGTTAGAGACTTCACATCTGCAATAGGGGTGGTTGGGAGACGTACTACAGGAGATCACTGTCATTATAGCCCTTTACAAATGGATGCTTCCACTTCTGACTACCGGGGGCTTCTTACAGCAAGTACTAAAGGGGTGTTTGGGAGACATACTACTACCACTGGGCCCTAGGGACACAGGGTGGGCCCCAGGGTTCTATAGAAATGGCTTTTCTCCTCCCCAGATGTTGTCGGCAACCTGAAACTTTGACACCTCATTGCTATGCACAGTCCCTGGGTTTCCCTTTCACTGCCCATGCTCAGCTCTGACAACCCTATTCTGTGTATTCTCTGGTCATCCCCTCACTGCCCATGCTCAGCCCTGACAACCCTATTCTGTGTAGTCTCTGGGCTTCCCCTCACTGCCCATGCTCAGCTCTGACAACCATATTCTGTGTAGTCTCTGGGCTTCCCCTCACTGCCCATGCTCACAGTTCAGGCATAGGAGCATACACCTCCACCCTCCCTGCGTGTGAATGAAGTCCGAGGTGACGATCTCACTTCTCCTGACGTCCTCCCCGTACAGGGGTTCTCTGCCCGCCACTCACCGGCGTCCACAGCAGTCACATGACCACATGTAAACAATGACATTTAAAGGTCTTTTCACGTTGCCTAAATGTAAGAGTGAAGAAGCAACGTTGGAGGCGCCATTTGGGCCGGGATTTCATGCTGCATCCTTCTACCCCAGCACTCCCCCATCCTTCACCTACCTGTCCATGCTCCTCCTAGATCTTCACAAAGAGTCTTCCTGGCAGTCCTTGCATGCATGGTACAAACGCCATTTCTTTCTATGGTGGCCAGACTTTCCATGGATATGCATCGGGATTCTACTACGGTAAGCATATGCGGACCGACTGGGATAAGGTATGACTCCCAGCGAGCTCCACTGTGAAGGTATATGTAAAGGATTACTGTACTAAAAATATCCCTCAACTCCTAAACTAGTTCCCCGTGATGAGAGGGCATTGATTTGTCTTCGTTCCCCAGCTACAGCCCCCCTGAGATTGCTCTGATCTCAGTGTTATAGGGGGACCTGAAGGTTGGTTACTGATCAAGTGATTGGCATTTCTGGCACGTGAAACGGCTCCTTTATGTGTCATC